GCTCTGGAACCGTTTCTGAAGAAGTCGCTCAGAGGGACATGTATCTGATATCCACCTCTCATGCTCCCGACTGATCCACGCTCACCTTCCCACCCGGCGAACCACAGATAGAGGCTGCGAGGCGCACCGTCCGACGCACAACGAGTTCTCCACTCACTTCGTCTACGTTTCTCAGCATGGCGGGACTCGCGTGTTGGAAGTATTACCTCTGGATCTTTATTTTAATGTGCAGGTCCGCCTTACCCGCGGCCAAAACGCTGGAGACCATCATCTGGAGCTCACAGAACACCAAGTAAGTCCCGGGTCCGAGTTACGTCTGAATCTGAACGCTCCGTGGGGTGTGCGTAATGGTCGACTTTAGTTGCTAAAGTCGCCTTTGTGTATGTATTTAACGGGTTAATGACTTGTTAAATGTGACAAATGTGTCAAGAGAAGAAATCGAATTTTAATCCGTTTTAATCGTCATTCCTCCGCGGCACAGGTTTGTGCTGATTTATTTTTCCGCTGGGAATTTCCCAGCACGACATGAACTCAGCAGGTACCGACGTCTGAAACATACAACATCCATCAACTAATCCGACTTAATAAGTGGTTAGCTCGATCAACTTACGGCGTTACCGCTACAGTCGTACCTGAGCCTAGAAACTCTTTGTTTGCCGTAAAGTGCTGAGTAAGGAGTCCAACAGAAAGTTTCATTTTCTCTGCCCCAAAAACAAACCGACTGAGTGGGTTAGTCTGCACAGAAGGGCCGGGGCCAACTGTCCCAACTCTTTACAAATTCTATTTAAATTTTCACATAAAAACTCTCGTAAAAAAACTTACACCTAATGAGAGGCAAATGTTGAAAACCGGTTTAATTTTTTTTTATTTGCCAAGGCGTGGACGTAGCCTAATTTTCAAACCTCAAATCTGAATAATTAAAATTTTTTTTTTTTTAAGTTTCCATCAAACACAAGCAGAGTTCGACCAGACTGCTGATAAAAAAACCACTCTCTGGTAACAATTATCACCCACTTACACCCCACTCCCACATTTGCATCGAGAGGGGAAAAAAAGAGAAGAGGGGAGAGGGGGGGGGGGGGGAGGAGAGGGGGGGGGGGGGGGGGGGCAGATAGAGAAGTGAGGTATATTTTTGTGGATGGAGCTGACCTTCATCTGAGCTCCCAGCACTGAGAGGAAATGGAGAGTAGCCTCAGCCAGAGTACAAGTTACCCACTCAAGTGAATCCATGATTTATTCCCCAAATGTCAAAAGTCGTGGGCTCTTGTTGTGCAGTCAGTGAGTATGAATATCGCTGCCATGTTCACTGGGCTGCAGGTCGATACAGTGTGTGTGTGTGTGTGTGTGACGGCGTAAGTGTGTGTGAAGGCCGAGGCCCTAATGGTGAGACTATGGCCCATCAGCTTTTATTTGACTGCAGAGGTGGTGGAACAATGAGTGTCGCCAGGCAGCACGGCTTCAGCCTCGCTCCCAAACCCTCTCTCTCTGAGTCAGTCAGGGGCGGACGGATGGAACGCAGATGAAGGTAGACAGCCATTGATAGATGATGTCACCTGGGGCGGGGGGGTCTGGGGGGGGGACACGTCTCTGAAGTTTCCCCATGCTGGTTTTAGGAATTGCAAGATCATTTCTCCATCTGTTCCGCTGCTTCTCTCCTTGTAAAATCCCCACGACCGTCCAATATTTCATAAAGTTCACAGCGGAACAATAACGCACTCTGCAACGTGTTCACTCTCAACCTAATTACCCTGCTGCTCTGCGCTTAGAAAACAATAGACAATTATCTCACTGTGCTCAGGCTTCGTAATAACAAACGACAAACCTGTTCTTCAGAGTCTGATAGGCAATAGAAGGGAATATTTTCACTGCAAACAACATCTGTCTTCCCTGTCGGCTGAGCTCCACTCCACCTTACTTCACTGGCACCCGCACTACACACATATATACAAATATATTGTGCATGTATACTATATATTTATATATTTGTATTTATATTTTACATATGTTTCTATTTGTATGTGTATATATTGTATACTGTATACTGTATATTTATATATATATTTATAATAAACATGTATATATTTATATGTGTATATATGTATTATATATATATTTACATTATACATATTTATGTATTTATATATGTATAAACATACAGAAGTTCATATAGGTGTTATACAAGTCATATATATTTCGGTTACTTTTTATAGAAGTTTTAGAACTTTTAGTGTTCTAATATACGCATATACATAGTATAAAAAATACATGTAAATAAAAGTATTTTGGTCAAGATTGAAATCTGTAATCACACCAACCACAACAGAAACCATTGTTACGGTTCCTCGCATTGTTTTGTGCAAAATTCTCGTATTTCTGTTTAAAAGTATTTTATGGAGTTTTTTGTTAAAAATGACTGACTACATATATTTATATATTTATATGTATATCTATCCTTCTATCTATGTTATAGACATACACTATATATCAGTTATATATACATGATATAAACATATGTTTTATATATATATATGAGTTATATATATGCTATACATATATATATAAATATATTTAAAAGTCTCATAAGTCACGGACAGAGAGCGGTCTGGAGAAATAGAAAGTACAGTATCTAGTGACTTATCTAGATTTACGATGTCTTACTTCCTGTTCCCACTTTGGGGAGCAGTGCAGCTTCGGCTAATAAATTAATCCGACCCTCCGCTTTCACAGTGAGCCACATACACAAAATATAACAATACCAGCACTTCCCTACAGGCCGTGAGTTATGAGACAAACTATAGGAAAGCAGCGGGTTTGGGGCCCGAGTGTGTGTGTGTCTGTGTGTGTGTTTGTGTATGGTAATGTATGTTTCTCTCTCGGTTATGGATCGTCATGTGAACATGCCATCACTCCTACTCCTGCATTATCAATAACTGGGGTCGGACTAATTAATTTCTACCCAGCGTGCTTGAACAGGCGACATACATCATCTGCTCTAATGCCAATCTAGTTAAAAAAAAAAGAGAGAAGAAGAAACGAGCGCTAAGTTTTAGTGTGGCTGCAGGATGTATGTAACCTTTTTGATATTTAATTGCGGGGGGGGGGATGAAGAAGGATGTGTCTGACGCTGGATGTGTCAGAGAGCCCGGCCGGGGGAGAAACCATCTCACATTTGATCACAGCAAATCGGATTAGCCTTCATTTAGCTGAGTGGGATTACAGCAGAAAATGTCACTTTGTTATGACCGATCACGTCCCATCTGCGTGGCCGCCGGAGTCGGCACCAAAAAAAATGTACATCAGGCACATCCTTCATGCACACACTGTACTGTGTGCAGTGACAGTGAGCTCAGGAATGCTGCAGTGATGCCAGTTCCACTGTAATCTGACAGGGGTCGCTGAGAGGATCCAGCTAATATTTACCTTCTGACCTGGAGTCTGTTTACAGCAACACAGGAGACAAATAAAACCATGGTTTAGAAAACCTCTAAGAATATACAAACCCGCCACGGCCAGAGGTCTGCTGCCCTCACTTTGAACCCCCCACACACATATCATCAAGGCTGTTTGTTTTGTGTTATTTTGAAGCCCACTAAAGAACAACAGAACAGCCCCACAGTGAGGGCAGTTACAGTTGATGAAGGTCAACTTTAGCCTCTTCGGCTGTGGGCTACACTGGGTCGCCTTATTGCCCCCCCTTCCCTCGGCTGCCTGAATTACACTTTAACATGTGGATAATTTTTGTTTTTAATCGCAGAATTGCTGAGGGTTCACTGAGTTTAAATTCCACTCCTGGTTGGATTATTGATTTGATATTTTCTTAAATAAATGTCACATTTAAATCAGAGCTGGGACCAAAAAGCAAAAACTTTGATGAATTAATTAAAGACAAAATGTCACATTAAAAAAAAATAACACATTTAATTACATTACTTTTTTCAGTTCACTAATTTCTGGAGTACCAGTAACACTCCAGCTCAGTAGGGGGCAGTAAGGGCAGTTAAAATGTGATTAATTGCGACCAATTCATTACAAAACAACTTGATTGAATTTTTGTTCTTTGCATTCAACCACTAATTGGATATGATTATAACGTTGATAAAAATACACACACCCTCCAGCCCAGTAGGTGGCAGTAATTCAGTTAAAAAAAATTATAAAAAATAAAAATGTAATTAATTAATTACAAAGACACTTTGATTTTCCTGTAACTGCACTGACCACTAATTATACGTAACATAAATACACAACAACATAAATACATAAACACTGTAATTGTTGATTATATAAAACTCCTGTGTAAAGAATGATCTGCTGTAATTAAAATAAAAACATCCTGACGTTTCTCTCTCGTGCCGACACTCACATGCTCAACACTGCCGACACTCACTTTATACATATTTCAGTCAGAGGTTAGAAAAACAAAGTGCAAGACTCGAAACTGACGAAACCTGTTGAACCAGAGCTGAATGAAACTTCAGGATGAGACTATAAACACAACTTTGGTTATTCAAGCAAAAAGTAGAGCGCTGCCGTAGTGCGGGTCGGTGCTGAGAAGGTCAGGGGCCTCTTTGGGTTTTCTTTTTTTTTTTTCTACCTGCCTGCCTCTCTGCTGCCCAGCCTTTCTGCCCCAGTGTGATATAAAGCTGCTCTGATTCCCCCCTTCTCCCCCTTCAGACTCTGATCATGTTTCCGTCTGATACCGATCTCATTATGCACAGAAAGGACTTAGAGCCTGAGCCCCACTCAGAGAGAAAGAGCCAGGACTGACCAATGAGAGTTACTGCTGGAAAAGCAACTGGCCGTAGAGCTGCAAAAAGGCAGCCTGTGTCTGAGTGTGGGTCTGAGGACAGCTGCGTTTGCTTTAATGTATGTGTGTGTGTGTGTGTGTGCGTGGGGGGGGGGGCATTCACGACTGTTGTTTCAGCAGTGTGTAACAACAGATTCTCGGTGTGGGTATCGGTGGGAGACACCTGGGCCCACAGAGGAGCTGGAGGATGTTTCGGGAAAAAAAGATTCTGTTTTTTTTTTCATCAAGGTTTCTCAGTCCAGATGGACCCACTTTACTGCCACATCACTGAAAACTGATCATTGTGTTTTTTTGTGTTATTGATGTGTTAGGTATTTTTATTCTAGCAGATGTTTAGATGAAACTGAGACTCATTCCGTGGTTTGCAACTCATTTTTAGCATTTTTGTCTATTTTTGTTTTCATGGGTTGCTGCATGACATTCAAACTGCCGCTCGTGACCCACAGTTATAGTTTGGTTTTCTTTAAAGGCATGTTTTAGATTCA